AGATGACGACTGCCCCATCCACGCGGCTCGGTGACTCCAAATCTCAGGCGAGACTGCAAGACACTGAGCGCGCTTGTAAACTTTTGATTTTTCAACTGGCCACCCAGACGAAGTTGGCGGAAATCAAAAACGGTCACGGCCTTCAATCACCCTCAAACGACTTCCGTTCAGGACAGTCCGCGATAGACAAGGGTGGATGTGGGATCGTGTTGGAGCATGTTGGACCAGCGCCCAACTATTCCGGGCTTTCGGTGCGTTTATGTCCTAATGCACGAGGGTTCGGTCATTCGCTTCGAGCCATTCTCTACCGTGATTCACCACCTAAGTCAGAATGAAGGTTCAGAGGGTGAAGGAAAAAAACGTACTTGGAGATTTCAGTTAAACAGATTCGAATGCAGATCGAAGACGGTCGTTTGGCAGACCAGCACTTTAGTGAGAGCTCAGAGATCAAGGCTGTCTGGCTTGAGGTAAGGCATGCTATCTGCGACTGTCTCTGATGATGAGTTCGAGTGGGAATCCGAAACATCAGGCCAATACATTTCTTGTTCCAGTGATCACATCTTTGTCTCCTGGCATGCTACAGCGCTAGGAGAGGCGACCACCGGATGGCCAATTGTCCTCAAATACGCCGTGCATGTTCGCAGTTAATGCTCAGCACAAACAAACCTGTTTGGCCAGCAGGGTCATAGTAAAATAAACGAGCCGTAGACCGAAGTTTCACGGTAATCATTAATCGTCAGCGGTTCTCACTGACGACTGAGCTTGAGATCTGGGCATGACTGACCAATGACGACAAGTAGATCGGGAACGACCATCCCAGCCCCCTTTTCTTTGCCGACAAGTTTTATCTGTTTACGTGAGGGAGGCTTTCTCTGGTGTACAGATCTGGCTCGCTCCCTTGGGCTTTGGATTTCACCCCCCGAAGACCTTGGATAACGAGCAGTAATCGGGTAGAATAAATATCGATAAAGACAGGGGGGGTCGTGGCGGCGACTAGTAAGTCGGGAATAGTCATCCCCGTGTCTTCCATCCTTACTGGCAATTATTCTGCACTTCTCTGTTCCCCTGCAAAGGTTTCGTCCGTTCGATCTGAAAATAAAACCAGCATGAGAAGTTGCGCTCCAGATAGTGGGGTGGGTTTTGGTGTTGGGCGTTAAATAAGTTGTTTCAGATCTCAGAACGGAGAGGAGCGTCTTTCATAACTGGAGAATGAGACAGGCTGGCAGTTCCTGAATGGGACGAAATGACGGGATCTGTCCCACTCTGGCATTCACTTGACCTCAAATGTACCAACTACCGGAACACTTTGTTTATCGTCCTGAGCTTTCAGACTCGTACAGGAGTCCATCGTCAGAGGCAGTGGCAGCAACAGAGCAAGCGATCGTTATAAGGCATGTAGGCCAATCATCGACCGCGGCGCAAGACTGGAGATGACTACGCAGGGCTCTGAAGGCCGGCGCCAGATCGATAAATCGATTGATTGAGTTCTCACCCGAGGCCCGGGCCTCAGTCAATTCTCGGTCTGTTTTCTTTCCGGCGTGGGCAACTATTTTGGTGGCTGTTAAGTTAAACTCATGACCCGTTTCGTAGGTATGGGCGGCCACTTGTGACAATGCGTCACCTCGTCGCACAGCCAGCTTATGTTCGTGTATGCACGATCCGAGCATGCGCCCAGTCTGTCCTGTGTAGTTACAAGGACAATTTTGACAGGGAATACGATACACTACTCCAGATTTCTCTTCAGGCTTTAACCGGTCTTTCAGTTTCGTTCCTACCAACTACCTTATTTAGCTCTCGAATGTTTTCCACATCAGCGGTTCAGGAGGCATCTTAAAGCCTCACCACTGAATTAACTTCGCTGTCTTACTCCTAGTCTAGAGCACATCACAATAATAATAATAATAATAATAATAATAATAATAATGATGATGATGATGATGATGATGATGATGATGATGATGATGATGATGATGATGATGATGATGATGATGATGATGATGATGATGATGATGATGATGATGATGATGATGATGATGATGATGATGATGATGATGATGATGATGATGATGATGATGATGGTATTTGACAGCAAGCACGTTCTTAAGGTCGTGGAGAGCCATCATGAAATCAGGATGGAGTGCATAATAAAGACGGAAAAACCAACGAAAAGCTGACAGTGAATGATAACAAAAAAGCCTTCGTCTAAACAGCCCCCGAAACCGCGGATAACAGTGTTCCAGTTCATTAGGCACAAGAGGCATCTTCTTGAAATCAGTCAGCCGCTTGATTCTGTCCCTATGTGAGGATGGTCAACCCCTAAAAACGGGGTCTTACAAAAAAACTTTCTTCCCATGTAGTTCTCTGGATAGAATCTCGCCGAAAATATCGTCGTTCCTGTCAGGCGAAATTGACACAAAACAAGAGGGTAATTTCAAAGAAGAGTGGGAATTGAATGTCTTCGTTCAGCACACGAAAAAGTGACGGCATAAACTCCTCCACATTCAGCAAAACACAAATTTGCGGAGATTCTGTCAAGCAGAAAGAGTAGCAATTTTGTAAATATCCTATTTAGGTCTCTCAAATTCCTTCGGGCGGCCTGTGATGCATGTTTTACAAATTTGGCGCTCTGCTCTAGAATATTCGCGTTGCGGTTTGATTTCCCCCTGGATTGTGTCAAGTTTGTTGAGTTCCGTGCGCAGTGATGATAAAAAAAATTTCGACGGCGATCGAGTGTGTAGGCCTTAGCTTTTATTTCTTTGACGTGTCTGTTTATTCGATTTAGGTAGGCATGGTATGTTAAGATGACGTTTCTGAAAAAGCTTATGATAATAACTGAATTTACGATTAAGACCAGGTCTACGGTGAGGACTAAGTTAGAGATTAAGGTTGGGTAAAAGTTTGGGTTGGGGCTAAGTTCGCCCACCGCATGCCGTATTATCCAATCCGATCTTCTTTAACCAATAACCATGCACTACCAGTTTTTCACCCGTTTGCACATCCCCAACTCGCATATTTAGAATTGCGCACTCTGTTCCCCTATCTCGTGGAAGTATTGTAACAGTTTCCGCTAATTGCCGCACCCATCTGTCCTACGGATAAAATGAATATTAGCATCCTTTCTGGGCTTTATTTTCTCAGTGGGTTTACATATACAATCTTCGACCACATGGACAGTTTGAGAAAGAATACGGTTTCAAAGTGCATATGTATAATCAGCCCGGCCTTTTATAGTTTCGAAGATAGCAGAAAACTAAACTGACTTACAACCGCGCCAGTATTTTGTGGGAATCTGTTTCTAACGGAGACATGAACTCCCACTCCTCTTTTTTACTGAAAGCGAAGAGGAAAGACCGTAACTCCACCCTGACAGGTGATTGGACCAGAGGACGGTAAGAGACTCCTGGATCGATAAGCAAGTATTGTAGGACTAATCTGTAATTTATCTCAAACGACCTAATAGCGGATAAGTCCGGGAAGTCACTTCCTGTCAATCCATAATTGGTCACAGCAGACAGCAGCCAGTCTTCTTCCCTTTAATGCCTTCCTGTTACAGTAGGTGGGCTAACTCATGAAATGTCAACTGAAATTTCGAAATGCGTTTTGTGTAACAATCGGGAGATGACACCCAAAAAAATCCGCCTAACCAAAGCAGCCTGTCTTACGGGACAGGTGGTAATAGGGGGTTTTATGGGTGGTGGCTGGTCAGGATGTACGATACTAGCCGACGAAAAGGCTTATTTGAACAGGTGAATGATCGACGTTGGCCCGCTCTCCGTTCCGTTATTACAAAATGGGTCGCCAAAGGCAGTATAGCGGTAACGGACGAGTGGAAGGCGTATAATCGTCTTACCTCAGAAGGTTGTCTACATTTATCTGTTAACCACTCAAAGAACTTCAAGGACCCTACCACCGGACGGCACACCAATGCAATACTGGAGTAGACTGATAAGGAAACTCCACGAGGGAGGCCCTGTATGTGGTCGAACTGTTTGGGCTCACATAGACGAAGTATAGTGTCGTCTTTGGTTTGGCCCCAATGCCATGTCTTTGACAGATGCCTGGGAACTGTTCCTGTCCAATATTGTGCAGACCTATCCTATTTAAAGGTGATTTTATTTTGTAATAAACTGCCATAATGCGAATGTATGTCGTATATTCAGGTGTACGTGTGTAACGATGGGGAAGGTTGGGTAACAGCGACCATCGTCCATGTAACCTCCTGCGATGTTCGATCGCCAGCCCATGTTAGGCCGTCGGGGAAAGTCCAAGTAGAGCGTGAAAGTAGGCTTGCAACCGCTGACATAGCCTGAAGGCGTTTGAGTCCACTGTTAAAGGTATTATTTCTAGGTAACGGATTTTTTTCGGTGCCATCTCTCGATTGTTACCGCGTTTTCGTTTCAAAAAGAATAATTAAGTAGCGTTGTAAAAATAATCAGTCTGCAGAATAATTATATAATAATTCAGTTACCTCAGGATGCCGTCTTTCGAATGAACTTCCTTCCGGCTGCATGCAAAAACTATACTCTGTAATAAATGACTACTTATGTAGCATGCATTTTTCTCATTGATTTTCGATGTCTCTAAATGTTCAACTATACGTCATGGGAAACATGCACAAAACTATTCATTCTTTCGCTCATTCGGTAAAAAAAAATTACGTCTTCTTTCAATTTTATACTCAAAGGAGGGACATAATTTGCTAGTAAAAGAGTTTCTTATTGTGATTCTTTTTAATACCGTGAAATGACCGTTCATAAATTGTCATGTCTCTGCATTCACCAATGTGGCTTGTAAAGTTAACAATATGGATCAAATCCAATGCTAAATTTTATGAACCCGATATGATCTCCTCTTAATACCGTAGAGAGATCTATGATTTTCCGTACGCGGAAAATAAATGGCTTGTAGTTTGGAAACCCTGAATGCAAGTGTGACGGTAGAGCGGGTTCAAAATTATTCGGAAATTGGAAAAGTTTTTGAAAACCGAATATTACACTTCCTTCAAGTATGAAATTGGAAAAAGACGTAATATTATACCGAATGAGCGGGAGAATGAATATTTTTTGCATGTTTTCCATGAAATATAGTTGGACTTTTAGAGACATCGAAAATCAATGAGAAAAATGCGTGCTACATAAGTAGTCATTTTTTTACAGGAGGTTCTTTTGAAAGCCGACGTCCTGAGGTAACTGAAATATTATAGAATTATGTTGCAAGTGTTCGAGTTTTACTGCCTTAATATACTAATCTTTTCGAAAAGAAAGCGCATTTCGGAATTTCAGTTGACACTTCATGAGTCAAACCACCTACTGTATACTTGACCAGAATGCGCACTGCAACATGGAGTGTTCGGCACGAGAGATCTCTGAGCGGAGTCACCAGTCGTCTCAAAACGAAGCAGACCTTACTTAACACGTTTGTAGGCACTTACACTGGGCTTATTTTCTCATGACGCACTCAGGGTGAGAGTGAACCGAGAATGGAGTGCTGGCCATCGCATGTTGCCGAATGATGCAACGAGTTCGCTAACGCAGAGAAGCTAAATGTGCAATTGCAGACGGGGGCATACATAGCTCAGTGGTAGAGCATTCGACTACAGACCGAGAGCTCCTTGGTTCGAACCTGGGCGCTTCCTCCATTCACTTTCGCCGTATTTCACAATTCGCTTTCTTGTCTCGCTTTCTGTATCTTCACAGAGTTACGCCTTTTGCCCGGACCGTGGACGGCAATCGTCTTACCACTTTTTTGTCCTTATGCCGTTTTCGTGTGGAGGAAACTTTTAGTCTTTTGGTAGATGCCTTTTCAACAGTATGCTGTTTAGAAGATTTCGTCAAAACGTTCTTCCATGACTAAGTTAATGGATGTTGCAAGCTTGTTTGCCTCTTTTTCGCTTACAATTTTTTGCAATTACCAAAAGAAATTGTGCAATATGAATCCCACGGTTTACTTAATTCCACTTTCTCTGGCATCAAGTTCGTGTTTGGTTAAGAATCAGAACAAAGCTGCTAATTTTTGACGTCTCCATAAGCACATACAGATAGCCATCTGGAAAGAACTGTGGGAAGTTTTGTAATTGTACATCAGTTGGCTTGTTTTACTGGTTATATACTAGCTGTTTTTCCCTGTTTGTTCGTTTGGACCATAAGTATTAGGCCATCCATACAGCACACCAGCAGTCCGTTGGCGGAATTGAAGCTTCCCGTAGATTTACTACCGAGTCCACCGGCGATTGTCCATGATGCCAATTATTTTATTTTGTGGCCAAAATGTCACATCTTTGAACGACCTGTGCTTTCTTTTTATCGTGTTCACTTTTGCCCGTGGTAACTAGAGGACGTATATGTCGAAAAGTATGGGAATTTTTGGCCTAACTCATGAAATGCCGTGATCGTTATTTGAGGGCGTAGTACCGTATATGCATGGTGTGGTTATTTTTGTTTATTAAATTGATTTGAGGCATAAAAAACCTTTTACTACAGAAGAATGCACTTAAAACCTGTCTCATGAAGGGAAAATAGGCCCATATTTAGAAAAATAAGGCGTTTTCCGGTATCCGAGTAATTTTCCATGTTATTTCTTATCAGATATCAAAGCCTCTTACTTTTTCGCGTTGTTCTATAAGGGAACATTATTACAGACAATAAAATGTTCAAGTAAATCCCTTCTGGAAACGGAAAGTGGGATTTTGCGTTGATGAAAATCGAGTGAGTTTAGATGTATGCAATCTCACTGTTTTCCAGAAACAAGGTGCGGGTTAAGCTTAAAAGTTTTACATTGCACATTTTGCCTTTTTATGCCATAAAGTGTGGTAATAAACTTGTCTGACAGTAGCTTGTTCTACAACGCTCAGAATTATAAGGCTTAGACAGATATACAATACTGAATACCCACAAAATGCTGTCCATTTTCTATGTTCTGCTGTGCGATAAAGACCTCCGTCATCAAGACGCCATGACGATGCCATTTTTAAGTAGGAGGTATATGAAAGAACGTTTGTTATTTGCGCAAGATTATACTGATACCAGGCGGGAGCATAGCATAGTGGTAGAGCATTCAGGTGCAGATCGAGAGATCACCGGTCTCAGT